GAGCGGGAAAAGGAGGGGCGGGAGCAGGTGTGAGAGAAGGAGCGGGGCCGCGGGAGGAGGAGCTGGAGAAGGAGGGGCGGTGGGGGAAACGGGAACGGGGTTAGGAGCGGGAGAAGGAGCACGAGAAACGGGAAGGGGCGTAGGAGGCGCGGGAGGAGCGGCGGTAGAAGGAGCGGGAGGGAGAGCGGGAGCGGACGGGGAGGGGGTTAACGAACGCGCGGGAGGCGGAGGAGGGGGAGCAGATATAGGTCGAGGGGGAGGAGGAGGAGCAGAGGGAGGAGCAGCAGGAGAACGCCCTGGAGCAGGGCTATGGCGGGATCTTTGTCACGTTGTTTGGCGGAGGAGTGGGAGGGGGAGGAGGAGTGGGAGGAGCGGGAAAAGGAGCGAGAGGAGGCGTGGGAGAAGGAGCGGGGAGCTGTCATGGTTTTTTTTTAGTGTATAGCGAATATGCCGCCGAAGAAAAAAATTTGATAAAAAAGAACGAGCAAAATCGGAATGAATGCTCTGCTAAAACATGAAAATATATACTCGCGCTTTGTGGCGAGGGGGACCTGTGTGTTCATGCATTCCTCATTCCTCTGCATGACAATCCCATCAGCAGGACGATCGTTTCCATGACGAAAGACAGAGAAAGAGAGAGAGAGAGAGAGAGAGAGAGAGAGAGAGAGAGAGAGAGAGAGAGAGAGAGAGAGAGAGTTCTCTACCCATGCACGCAAACAGATAGAGAAACGGTACTTCCATTGATAGGATGAGCAAGAGTATGCAACTACACACTGCTTTCCAGCCATGCTACTTCCTTCATCGATCGTTGTCAAGATGAAAAAGCAGAAGTAGCTATGCCAGATACATGGAAATATATAGTTCCGCCGTTGGCTTGCTTATCAAAGTCGTGACAAAAATTGTTGAATATCGTCAAACAGAACTGCCCGGTAAACCGTAGGCAGAGAGGGAGAAGAGGACGACAAACGAGGGGCTGTGACAAACTGTATCGTCGGAGTTTCCCCAATTCATCTAGACTATCACTCACCCACTGTGCTTTCATGTGGGACCAGCCATTCGGGTTTTTGGCATCCTGGTTGGTTGTTTCCCGTTGTTCGGCCCTTTGAGAGGCGGGGCGGTGCCTGTATGTGGGAATCGTCATCCGGGATTGTCTTCTCTTTTTTTCTTGGTTGTCACACTGTGGATCGTCGCTTTTTTATGTCTTGTCCTGGGTGGTCTTGTCCCGTTGTTTG